TTTATGGGACAGTTTATAGGAGCCTGAGTGTATCCTACATCTTAAGGGACAGTCTAGCCTTTATGCATACTCTCCTCCTGACATATGAGGAGGGGACTCTGTCTAACATTACCTCTTCCCAGCCTTCTGTCTCTGTCATGCTCACATTCTTGGGGTTGGCAAGCTGATTCTGCTGTCTTCCTGGACACGCCTGGATAGCCCCATTTTACAGATGAGGCTCAGAGTGGGTAGACAACTTGTCAAAGGTCACACAGCTCTACCAGATGTATTGGGATTAGGTCTCTCTCAGTTCCAAGTCCATACTCTGACCTGGTTCATTGTGCTACCTCCCTGCGTGGGGTTGTAGAGGGGTCCTTGGAAGGTGGCTGACTCTTGAGAGCCCACCTGGGAATCTAGGTCCTCTTGTTAGGTCCCCTGGAATCTGAGACTCCTGGACAGCCTCTCATCTTCCTAAACTTCCCTCTAAGTTAGAGCTTCCCAACTGATATGTCCAAATGGGTTGCAGATGTGTTGAGATATCTCCTTAGCCCTTGGGGACAGCCCTGGGCCGGTCATCTAAGACCAGGCACAGTTCTGTCTCCACCCCAGTGTGCTGAATAAATATGTATACTCCTCTATGTATATCATGATGTGAAACAGGCTGGGAAACACTGATGGCTCTAACCAATCCCCTTCCCACCCCCACCATACACACTGAACACACTTTTCCATAAGGGTGGGGATTCGTGGTCCTCTCCGGGCCATAGGCTCTTCATCTGAGGAATGGGGACTGATGTAGGTGATGTCAAAGGCCTTTCTACCACTGTGAATCTGAGTGTGAGCCTTAGAACCCAGCTTTGGGAGGGAGCAGGGTCTGCATAGGGCCCAAGCAGCCTGCTAAGAAGGCCAAAAACAGTCAAGAAAGGGAGCTGTGGAGGAGAGGTCAGAGACTATGAGAGGCCAAAGACTCTGCCTCAACTTGACTCTGTCTGCTTGGGGAGGCTGGAAGGCTCCAGGTATCTGCTCTTCCCCATGCTGCGTGGCCCCATCAGAGTGGCCCCCTTCAGTCTCATTGCTTGGGTTTCAGAGGAAAGCCTCCCGGGAAGGGCCACATCTGTGAGCCCCATCAGGCACACTGGAGGAACAAACAACCTGGCCAGATTTGGTGGGACTGATCTTTTCCTTCCTGACAGGAAGGCAATAGGCCTCAGAGCTGGGGGAGGGTGGGAGGTCAGGCAGGCAAACAGGGGTATGGAAGGGGGAGGGGAAGGCTCCACCATCTCCCCCATTCCCTTAGGCAGCAGGTGAGGAGGAGGGAGCTCTGGTCTGAAATCAGACCTGAACTTTAATCAAGGCATAGCCACTTACTTGTGTGGCCTTAGGCAAGCCACTGAACCTCTGAGTCTCAGTGTTTTCCTCTGTTAAATGGGGATAATAATATCTCAAGGGTGGGGTATTAGAGAGATAAAATGAGGGACAGTGGGAATGGCATGATACAAACTATAAAGTGCTGTCCCTCCTCTGCCAGTCTAGCCAGGGGTGGCTGCTGCCTGCGTTCCTCTGGTACCCTTGGCCTCCTTCCCCCAAATGCCAGGGGTCAGTCCCAGCTCAGCCTGTTAAGTCCTCAAGAGAATTGGAACCTGTTATCCCTGCTGGTGAAATCGTGAGGCAGGAGCCGTTCCTCATGGAGCCTTGGGTTCAGCATCCTTAAGACAGAAAGGAGGCGTTGGGGCTCTGAAATCCCATGATTCCTGGGAGGGTCTGATCTGGACATGTTTCTTCCAAACCACAACGACGGCGGTGGTATGGGATTTGCTTACTTGTATTGAGCAACTGACAGTTTCCCCAAAGCTCTCTATGCACCTTATCTCAGTCCCCACTGTGTTAGAGATGAGATACTGAGCTCAGAGAGGTTTAATAGCTCCCTTGCTCAAGGTCACAGCACAGCGAGTAGGAAGCAGAGCTGGGATTCAAACCCAGGTCTTGGAGGAAACTTGAGATCTTAATCGTGCCTGTGGCCTCACGAGTTTCCTGTTACCCAGAGTAGGAGCTTTTTACTTTTGTTTTTCTTTTTTGTTTTAACAAAAATAACAGAAAAAGTAAAACCAGAGACTGAAAACCAAGATAGTGAAGAGCTGAAAAAGCCAGCCCTGGGGTGAGCCGTGTTTTCAAGGAAACACATCACCTGTCACACGCAAAACAAATACAGCCACCTGTGACCAGCCTCTTTTCATGGGCAATCAGGACAAAGTCCAGAGCATGGAGAGCTGGGTGGCATGCCCGTGGACAGGTGAGCTTCCAGAGCAGAGGGGCCAGGCCGGGCTCTCTCTCTCCACTTTCTGCCCAAGGACACAGACTGAGCTCCCATGGGATCAGTTGTCCAACTCACCAGACTGGCTGGGCCTCCAGGCCTCAGACAGGCCCCTAGGCACAGCCCAGAGGTTCAGAGACAGAGGCCCCTCCCCTGCTGAGGGCAGAGGCCTTCCTTCCTTAGGCGGCTCAGCCTGGCCCTGTTCAACTGAACTGCCAACCCTTTGCCCCGGAGCAGTGGTGGTCACCCTCTGGCATGGAGCCCTCCAGGCTGGGCATATTCTGGAGCCTGGATCAAGGCCCTCAGAGGGCTTCAGACTGTTGGTGGAAACTAACAACTTTGGGATAGTAATCATCATCATCATAACTGGTAGCATTTATTTGAAATTTACTGGGTGTCAGGCACTTGACAGAACGAACTCATGTAAGTCTCACCATGACCCATTATTAAGCCCATTTTATAAGTGGGAAAGCTGAGGCACAGTGGTGAAGTGGTTGCCCAAGGCCACATAGCTGGTAAGATGTGGCAGATTTGGCATTCGAGGCAGGGAGAGGAGGAGTGGGCTAGGGTGCCAGCCCAGACTAAGCCCTCCTGGGTGCTAGCATGATTACAGGTCACCTTCACACCAGTGTGGCGTGGGCAGGTTTGGTATTCCCATTCACTGATAAGGAGGAAGCTCTGTAGTGTCTCCTGAGGTTATGTGGCAGATATGTGGCAGATCCAGGGGAGGGAAGCAAGGGTCATTATGTGACTCTGTGAGCTGGTACAGGGAGCAGGTGGAGAGGGAGGAGCTCTGAACCCAGAGTCTCCAAGTCCTCCACTGCGTGCTCAACCCTGATTTTACTATGTGACCTGCAGGCTCTTGCTCCCTCTGGCCCCTCTGAAAAATGCACTGATCTCAAAGGTCTTCACCTGCAGAGCAGACATTGCTCTGGGGTTCATGACTCGGTGGGAAGGGATGTGCCTCCAGGAAGTCAAGGATGGAGCAGAGGCACCAGGAGCTTCATGGGAATTCTCCCTTGCAGGGCCCTGCTGCACAAGGGACCCAGGCAGGCCTGCATCCCACTCCCAGCAGAGGGAACAGGCCATGCTGGGGATGGGGCCTTCGGCAGTGGGTCTCACACATTAGAGTCCTCAGGAGAGCTTTAAAAAATCCTGATGCCCCAGCTGTTCCCCGGACCAATTAAATCAGCATCTCTGAGAGGGGGCCCAGGCACCGGCAAGTTTTAGAGCCCTCTGGGTAATTCCAGTGTGCAGCCATGATCGGGGACTACTACTCCAAACCAATGGGAGGTGGGGAAGTAAGAATCCCCTGGCTTTCCGCGCCTAGTGACCCCCCTCCCCCCGACCAGATGACAGAATGTGCCTGCCCAGCTGTGTGCATCTTTCTTGGGAGAGAGTTCACAGCTTCCATTGGCTTTTCTGACCCAAAGGAGATTAAAATCCACTCTTAGGGGGAAGCAACCCCATCCCCCCAAACCAGCAATGTCATTTCTAAGGACCAGAAACCTCCAGTTGCAGGATCAAAGTTGGTTTGTCTTGTCTTTTCTAAGAAACCTTTCCTTACCTCTCCAGACTGTCCCCGTCCCCTTTCCTTTCCTGCTTCCTGCAGATACTTACCAAGTACTTGCTGTGTACTGGGCACTGCTCTGGGACATTGGCGAATAAGACAGACTCAGGCTCCCCCTCAGGGAGCCATACTCTCATGGGGACTGTGGACGCAGTAGTGAGCCAATAGGATAAATGCAGTGAGCAGGACATCGACAGGCCCAGGTGTAAAGCTGCTGCTCCTTAGGGTCACTGGGGAGCCTCCCCAAGATTCTGATGACTTCGTGGGTCATTGATGGGGACTGGGCATTGGCATATTTTGATTCTAATGTGCAGCTGGAGGGAGGCCTGCTGAGTAGACCAGGCTTTCAGGGAAGGCTTCTGGGAGGAGGGAGCTCAGCCTGCAAGGAGGGAAGGAGCCAGCCTGGGGCTTTGGGGGAGGAGTGATCTTGGAAGAAGCAGCAGGTCAAAGGTCTTGGTGTGCAAGGACCTGCTCTACTGGAACAACAGGAAAGAATGGCCTTTGTGGCCTAAAGAATGAATGTGTATATGGGAAGGGGGAGGTGCTGAGGACAGAGGAGGGGCAGGGTGCACCAGGCAGGGCTCTGACAGCCACCTAAGAGCATGAATGTTATAGGAAACATCTCGGCTCCATCACCATTGCAGGGTTGCGGGATTGGGGAGCGCCAAGATCTGGTTTGCATTTTTCAAAGCCCTTCCTGAGGTGTGGATAACAGACTGGGGAGGGCAGGAGTGGGACCTGTGACCAGCCAGGGAAATGTACTGGTGGGAGGTGAGGCGTGGGGCCAGGACAGGCTCTGGATTGGGCTATGGGAGGAGGGGGAGGAGGCAGAGGGAGACCTGACTGGCGCTCTTAGGTGCTCTAGTCCAAGCCAGCTGGTGCATCAAAAGGCCATCTCGTCCCCTCCTCTGAATCCTGCAGTACTTAGAATCCTGGAGCAATGGCCCCCAAAGGACCTCAAGAGTGTTTCCTAAGATCTGTTCCACGTGGTATTAAGGGCTATTAAGTGTACAATCATTTTAAGTCAGTGGTGTTTATCCACTGTGCTGAGTCCTTAACAGCCTAATGTATGGTGACTCTCGGAGAGGAGAAATGTTGCTTCACACACTTGGTAACAGCAAAATTTTTTGTTCTTAACAGCAGGTCTTCTAAGACTTGGATTCTAAGGAACCCCTCTGGAAACGCTGCTCTGGTCCTGTCATTTGACAGGTGAGGAGGTGGGGGTGGGCAGGGAAGGGTGGAAGGGTGGGGACAGTCACCTGTGCTAGATTTCCTACTGAGTGACCCATTAGAGCAGGCCTCAGCCTTCACCTCCTTACTCTGGGCCTTGAGGTACTGTGCTGCAGTCCCCAGTCAGTCTCCCCAAGGCTTGGTCGGGACATCCAGGCTCTAGGGTCAGGCTGGAAAGCTCCTCCCCCATCCGCAGCTGAGGGACAGACCAAACCTCCTACTCTACAGGAGCAAACTCACAGGGGCCAACACAGAAGGGGTTCTCTGGGAGACACCAGCTCCTTCCCTGTGTCAGGGGCTCTGGGAAAGGTGAGGGAGCCTTGGCCGTGGGTGACATTCAGAGCTGGCTCTGGGTGCTCACCCTACACGAACTCCACCTCATCCCTTGAATGAGGACCAAAGAGGTCTGAAAACAGTCTCAGTTGACCCAGGGGCAGTGGATCTCAGGCCCCCTTCAGGTGGCTGAGTACTTGAAAGTCCTGGTATTCTGTGTGGAAGTTTTCCCCCTCCCCTTCACCTCTCCCTCCCTCCCTCCATCCACCCATCCCTTCCTCCATCCTTCCAGCCCTCTCTCCACCCATGCTCCAGTTGGCAACATTTTCTGGGAGCCTACTTTGTTCTCATAAATAATACATAGTCTTTCCCCTCAAGGTACCACAACCCATAGGGGAGATAGAAAAGTGAGCAGAAAATTACTGTACAGCATTATGAGTTAGAATAGTAACCCCCATTCATTGAAAGCCTACCTCATGCCAGACACTTTACCTACATCATCTGATTTAATCTTTGGGCAAATCTGTCCAATAGATTTCATTTTCCTCTTTTCACAGATGAGTAAGGTGAGGCTCAGAGAGGTTAATTTCTTTGTCCAAAGTCACACAGCTAGGAGGTGATAGAGTCACATTCAAACTTAGGCAGTCTGATGCCAGAGCCTGTTCTGGGAATGACTTCAGAATCCAGTGCTATTGGAAGGAAGCTGAGAGGAAGTGCCCCTAGCCAACACGTGTGCTGGCCCCCGGGGAGCAGGTGGCTGTGGCAGTGGTGACAGGGCTGGCTGGAGTGGGAGGTTTCCTGGAGGAGGTGGATGTCTGAGGTGAGTGCTGAAGGATGAGTAGGAGTTAATAATATATTAGTGTAATAATTTCACTGTACAAACTGATTTGGCATAAAATTATATATTTGGTCAATTTAAATTATAGGTGCTTAGAAATGGTCAATTTGCCTGCTATAAAGTATAACATAAAATCGGTACCTTCTTTCTCCTACTGCTCACACAGCTGTCAGTGACTGTTCTGGAATTTTCCAAATAAAATGTGCTTGTTCTGTGGCTGTCATGACATCCTCCCAGGAAAGCATAGGCAGACCCTCCAGTGTCTACGGAAAGCATATACCAGGGAGCATAGCACTGGGAGGCGTTCTCTGTTTCATTTCGTCCGTTAATGACACGCTCACCCCCAGTTCTTCCAGAAGTCCTTATAAAGATGTTTAGCCCAGCCCTGCTCATGGAGTCCTGACTGCCAGGTGCTGGCCCCGTGGTCTTTATAACAGGGGGTTCAGTTGGGAGCCCCGCTCTACAGGTGAGGAGCATGAGGCCCCAGAAGTCCCTTCCCTGTGGCCATGCATTGGCAGAGCCAGGATTTGGACCCTTGTCTGGGGATCGTGTGCCACCACCATTTGTTCCTCTACACCGGGGCCGGCAAACTTTTTCCACGAGGGGCCAGGCGGTAAATGTTTTAGGCTCTGTGGGCCAGTGGTGTGCGCAGCTGCTTGCTGTGCCATAGCAGTCACGGGCAAGACATACTCCAGGGCGTGTGGCTGTGTGCCAACGCAGCTTTATGTATGGACATTGACATTTCAATTTCAAGTGTTACAAACACTCTTCTTTTATTTTTTTCCAACTATTTAAAAATGTAAAATCTGTTCTCAGCTGGTAAGCCATATAAAAAATAGGTGGTGGGTTGGATTTGATCCACAGGACTAGCTGCCTAGATGGCCACGCCCTGTCCTACCTGAGTCCTTAGGCCTGTCTTGCAGATAAGGGGGCTGAGGCTCAGACCCCTCAGCACAGGCAGGCACAGCTAGAATGGAACCCAAGCCCTCTGACTCCAGCTTTGGGGTCTCCTTGGGGCCTGGTGGTGGTGATGGCTCCCTAAAGTTGATGCCACACCCCATCTTTGGCCGACCCCCTGCCCTTCATCTAACCGCCCATCTTGTGTAGGTGTGGAGAATGCATTCATCCCCCGCTCCCCATGGCTGCCAAGGGGAATGCCTGTGCTCCCAGGGCAGGAAGACTGTGTTCTGGATCTTAGCCCACAAGCCCAGGAGCCACCACCCCAGGCTCTGGTTCTCAGCACCTTTTCCTCCCTCAGGTGATCCCCAGGTAGTCTTGGGGCTGGCCCCTCACTGGCCAAGCTGCCTGCCAGTCGTGGGGCTGCTGGGCTCCTGCTCCAGCATTTGAGCCCATCCAGCTGCCCCCTGGAGAGGAGGGGGCGGCCCAAGGGCTCAGCGGCCTGGTTTCTGTCCTTGGCCGTCCACACGCTGGTGCCCAGACAAGCGCCCTTACCCCTCTTCGCCTTAGTTTGCTCATAGAATGTTGAAAGGCTTTGTCCAGCGCCTGGTACAATTTGTGCGAGTGACTGAGAGACCAGTGAAGGGCCCAGGGGCTGGAGTATCGGGGATGCCAGCCCAGCAGTCCTGCCTCTTTGCCCGCCAAACCAGAGGTCCTTTGAGCAGTCACCTTGGTCTTCACCACCTGCTTGGTCAACGGAATCCCAGCCGTCCCCAGATACAGTCACAGCCACTCCCCGCAGACGGCATTTCACGGGGAAAGATCTTGGGCTGCTTAAGGAGCTGTGGGACTTGGGCAAGTTACTGCACCTGCCTGAGCACCGCCCCCCTCCCATAGGAATAGCCTCCCCACCTTCCGGGCGGGTTGTGAGGGTTAAAAGGGATGACCAAGGCCCATGGCTGTTCCCAGGCAGCTCCCCTCCTTACTCGGCAGGCCTGGTATTCACTGTCTAAAGGCCGCCCCATCCTGGACACCCCTACCCTGCGAGGCTGCCCTGGACACCTGGCCCTAGGGGAGGATCTGGGAGCCGGAAAGTGTACAAACTCCCTTCCCAGGCTGTTGAGGCCGCTGCAGTTGCCAACGAATGGGCTGTTTCCACACTTCTCCAGTTTCACAAGAACCAACTGGCACCGCCGCTCGGGCCTCTGGGCCCCTCAGCGCTGGGACGCGGTTACTGGAAAGTTCTGGTGAAATGCCGACTGTGTCAGCCCTTGGGGTGGGCAACACGTGTCATTTACTGGGAGGAAACACAGGCAGGCAGGCAGGATCTTGGGACGAGAGAAAAGCATGCCTCCCTCCCTGGGAGGATCTTTCCTCTCTGGCTGTTTGTTCCCTGCGAGTTTATGAAGTGCCTGTGGTGTGTCAGGCGCTGTGCTGGGAGGGGACAGAGGAAAACAGTAGCTCTCCTGTATGTGGTCCAGCCCCCCGCAGGCCTTACTCTCAGATCTCTGGATCTCCTGACATGGGGGTGGCAGTGCCTGTTTTCTCCCCTCTGGATCAGGGGGTGGGGGGAGGTCCCAGGCAGAGTTGCTGAGTCTGGACTTTCATGGTTCCTGAGTTACCGCTCCCTTTGCATTTCTCGGACCCAGACCTGGGACCCTGGTGGCTTGGAAGAGCCAGTTAGTCTAATTTTCCCAGGTAGCACTTGAATCCCCCTATAAATCTTTATTCAGACTTTGCTTCCATGACACTTGTGATGGGGTGCCCACTACCAACCAGGCAGCCTTTTTTCTTCTTTGGGTGGCTTTGCTTCATGTGCCCAAATCTGACCCACAGAAAGGCAGCTAAAGACAGGAATGTTAGGCCTAGCCGGTGTTGCTCAGTGGTTGAGCATTGACCCATGTATACCAGGAGGTCACAGGTTTGATTCTGGTCAGGGTTGCGGGGTCAATCCCCTGTAGGGGGTGTACAGGAGGCAGCCGATTGATGTTTCTCTCTCATTGATGTTTCTATCTTTCTCTCCCTCTCCCTTCTTCTCTCTCTAAAATCAATAAAAACATATATGACAGGGATGTTAGAAAACTGAACTGGACCCCTTGGGAGGCTCTGAGCACTCCCTCCCCTTCCCCTGTCAATGGAAGTGTATAAAGTTGAAGCTGAGCCTCCACTTGGCAAGGATAATAGAAGATTGTTATTATGTCCAAAGAAGGGTGAGGGACAGGGGAGATTCCCATGACTGAGCACTGCCCTTTACCCTGCAAGGGATAGGAGGGGGTGAACCCCACACCTGGGTCCTCAGGGCCCCCATTCTCTCTGTTCTGTGTTTTCCCCCCACCCTTCATAGGGCAGTGGGAACATGACTGCATCTGGTGCCTGCTTTCCCCGCCCCCAGCCTGGCTCTACCCTCGCAGCTGTCCCTGGCCAGCTGTCCTGGACCTAGCTGCCTGGCGCTGGTTCCCTTTCCCCTCAGGGCCTGAGAGCTGACTGTTGCCACTCCTGGGTTGTCTGGCCTTGGGGAGGGCGCAAAGGGCAGCCAGCTCCCAGATTCCCTCTTCCTCCCCAGTCCTGCCCTGGCCTGGGGTCCTTCTGTGTAAAGGGTCACGGCATTCTCAAGTGTGGTTTGTGTTGTTCAGAAACATGAGTTTTCTGGGAGAGTCTATGACCCCCCCCAAAATGTTAATAAGTATTGATGAATACCTATGCAACGTGTAAAATTATGCTGTAGAGGAACATTTTATCCACATAAAGAGATGGTATATTGTAGAATGAAAAAAGCAGTCAGGAATTCACTCTGTATAGCATGAGCACCATTCTGTGTAAAACCACTTGTCATACACCCCTGAGCTGGAGGTATAGCTGCTAAAATGATAACAGTTTTTATCTCTGGGGCGAGATAAACATTTCTGTTGAATTTGTGTTTTTCTGTTTTTGTTGGATGTTTCACAATGCATATTTGTTTCCTTTGTAATGAGAAGGTGGAGGGAGCACTAAGTTCGTTTTCTGAGAAGCCAGAAAACTCTCTTCCTCCTCACAGCAGCCCCCATCACCCCAGCCCCCTAGCCCCAGAGGGGATCTGAAAATGTGTGGAACAAGTCACAGGTCTTACCTCTGGGTCTCCAGCAGTCACTCACTAACTTCCTGGTCTCCTGACTTCCATGAGCCTGTCTGGGCAAGTCTTGGACCCTGAAGTTCTCCTGTATAATTTCCCTCCAGGCCTGGCCCCAGTAGAGTGGCTTACCCAGACCCTGACTGCCAAGCAGCAAGAACCCGAGACTACCCATAAGACCACACTTTCCATCTGTGTGGCTTTGGGCCAGTCATCTAACCTCTCTGGGCCTCAAGGTGCTGTAAAGTGGGACCTCATATTAGTACCTACTTCATGGGCTTGTTGTGAGGATTTGGGGCCAGCAGATGGTGGGTGCCCATCAGCATTGGTTCTCTCTCCTCCCCTGCCCTGCCCAGCCCATCCTACACTGACCTACCTGCCTTTTTTCTCCACAGGGAGCTCCAGGGCCAGCAGGATGGGGTCAGCCTGTATCAAAGTCACCAAATACTTCCTCTTCCTCTTCAACTTGCTCTTCTTTGTAAGTATGGCCAGCGCTACTTGACTGTCTCCAACAGAGACTCTTGTGCCTGGTGCATCCCAGCCTGAGATCTCCAGAGATGCCAGGCCGGGGAACAGTTGTGGGGTGTGGTTGGTTGATGGGGGCTGAGGGCAAACCATTTCAAATGGAACCTGGTCAGGTGGTGAGGAGATTCCTGGCATTCCCAGCTGCTCCACATAGAGCACTGGACTCCTTGCCCAGCCTTCCCCTCTCCTGGAGCACTGAGGCCAGGCTGCCAGGGCTGGAGCCGGTGTGGGGGAAGGAAAGCCCTCTAGGCATCTCTTAAACTCTTGTCATTGGGGATTTGCTGGTGGGGAGTCTCTGGAATCTTTCTTGTCCCGTCCTGACCCTGCCCCCTCCTACCTTCCTTTGCCCCTCTGAGAACTTGCCTGCTACAGTTCTGGGTCTCAACTGCCCCTGCCACACTCCCACCTGCATTGTGGAGGATGTGCCCTGAGCCAGGGGGACACCCAGATGTAAGCTCCATGCACATCGGACCTGGTTTTCCTGGGGGCCTTGACTCTTCTCACTGGCCTGGTGCTCACTGACTCCTCCTGCCTTGGAGTTGCCAGGATGATGGAATGTGTGTGTGTGTGAGTGTGTGCACGTGTGTGAGAGTGTATGAGTAGGTGTGTGTGCAAGGAAGAGAATGTGTGAGTGTGCATGTGTGAGAGTGTGTCTCTGGTGGGGTGAGGGTGAGGGTGGCCTAGAGGGGCCTTCATAGCCCCAGGGTGGTGCTGGGGCTTATAGCCTCTCCATGTTGGTTCACCCGATGCTGTTAAAAGAAACAGGTTCTGCAATGGGATGTTTATTATGATCCAATTTTATTTTTAAAAATTGTACACATACATGAATATATATTTTTAAATAAGTCTTTATTGATCTCAGAGAGAGGAAGAGAAAGGGAAAGAGAGATGGAAACATCAATGATGAAAGTCATTGATGCCCGGCCAGGCATGGCTCAGCGGTTGAGCATCGACCTAGGATCCAGGCGATTTGGGTTCGATTCCCGGTCAGGGCACATGCCCAGGTTGTGGGCTTGATCAATGACTCTCTCATCATTGATGTTTCTGTCTCTCTCTCTCCCTCTCCTTTCCTCTCTCTGAAATCAATAAAGATATATTTAAAAAAAAAAAAAGTCATTGATCAGCTGCCTCCTATACGCCCCCTGCTGGGGATCGAGACTGAAACCGGGGCGTGTGCCCTGACCAGGAATCGAACTGAGATCTCCTCGATCATAGGTTCGATGTTCAACCACTGAGCCATACTGGCTGGGCCATACCTGAATATTTTTAAGAGGAGAAAAAAATACCTCCAAATGTTAATGTTGGGATTCCTGGGAATTTGGGGTTTATTCTTTATGCCTCTGCATGTTTCAAATTTTCTACAATAGACATGAATTACTTGTGGGGAAAAAATTGTTTTACATTACAAATGACACAGGATAACGGAAAGTTTAGAAAATAAAGAATCATTCTAAATCCCTCCTCATAGGTTTAACCCACCACACAGATACTTACAAGTGAACTTACAAGTGAGTTCCTGGTGCATGCAAGCACACACATGTGCACACATGCACACACAGATGCACATGGACCACCCTGGTGCTACCCACCCTGCTGTTCATCCACCCTAGCTCTGGCCCCACCTCCCTCCTGGAGGATCATGCTGAGTCCCTGCTGTGGCTCTGGCTCTCCACTGATGGCAGCCAGGCCTGGAAGCCACCCCGGGCAGGGCCTGGGCACCTGGGCTTCCCCACTTTGGCAGTCAGGTCCCTCTTGGCTGGCCCAGGTCTCTGGAGCACAGCTGCCCAAGCAGCCAGAGCCAAGCCTTCCCTGGCAGGCAGGAGGCTCCCAGGCTGAGGCCTGGCTTCCAGGGCCAGTAGGGGACATGGGATGGGAGTGCTGTGGCTCTGTCTCTAGGGGCTCTAGGGACAGGAGAGAGGGGTCTAGCTATGTCCTAGATGGTGACAGGGCTTGTAGAAACCCCCTCTGCCCCCATGCAGTGGGAGGGAGGCATAGAGACTTGTGGAGAAAAGCAGCGGGGTTGGTGGTTTTGGCCAAGGTGTCCTTTCCTGTTCTATTAGGCTGCCCGGTAGAGCCAGAGACTGGAAAATCTTCTCTCTGGCCAGAGCTCGTGGGGCTGGTCTTGGGGGCTTGGCTCCCTCCCAGCTGCTCCAGGGGGCTGGCGGGAGTTAGGCATTAACTCCTTATGTGCTGGGGCTCAGAATGGCCCCTCAGGATGTGGTAGGGGGTGCGGCTGGGGGAGGGGAGCTTTTATACAGAGGATGAGAGGGAAAGGAGAGAGTTAGAGGCGACAGTGTGTGTTTGCTGCTCACTCACCCAACATATGTGCATTTGACACCTCTTTGTATTCAGACCCTGGAGGGGGAGGGAGGAAGGTAGACGCTTACCGGCAGAAGAGCCTTGGCTTCTGCACTCATGGGGCTTATGTCCAGGCTGTGGTGGGCTCCAATCAAACACTCAGATGGATGGTGAAATCGCAGTTGTAGGTGCTGGGAATGAAGGATGCAGCCCCTAGGAGACCAGATAATAAGGCACTTGACCTTGTCAGAGCAGTCAGCAAAAGCTTCCTGGAGTTCTGCATGGCTGGGGAGAGGAGTCACAGCAGCAGGAACTTAAGTCCAGTGGGGGAGTGGGGCGGAGTGCGCCGCTCCAGGGCACAGTCCTGCAAGCTTCCCAGACTGATTCTGATCTTTGTTTCATGCACAGTAGGAAGCAGTTATTTGATCGGACTTGTAGTTTGGAAAAATCACTCTGTCTGCCATGTTTGCTCACAAATGCACATGTGCACACGTGTAGGTTTTGCCTACACTCCTTCCTGACCCCAGACTCCTCATAAAATCACCCCATCAGCTTTTCTCACATGCAGAAAAACCCTGAGGCAACTGGTACCAGGCTTCTGGGGGAAGAAAGGCAGCTGTCAGGGTCCCAGCTCCTGGCTGAGCCCTGGGGGGAGATTCTGGCAGGGCTGGGGGTGGTTAATGTGGGGTATGTCCCAGGGCCCCAGTCTTGGTTCTCGGAGAAAGGGAGTACCATGGTGCCTCCCCCACTCTGGTCAGCCACCTGGCCCAGCCTCCTTTCTGGCTGACCTCGAGGCTGATCCAGCCATACCTGCCGGTTAGGATGCAGTCATAGGACATGCAGAGAAACTGAAAGGGCTGCACCAGGGACTTCCCTTGGGTTTCTCCTGGAGAGCAGAGGAGTTTAGCCTAGCAGTCCAGGATTTTACTCTGGGATTATATTTGCCCAGAGGGAATTTTCTGCCCTGCCTCTCATTCCCTCTTTGGAAGGGTAGTTCTCTGCCTCCTGCCCCGCCCTGTGACTGCCGTGGAGGTGGGTGGGGCAGGGGCTCTGCCTCCTGGGTCTGCAGTGACAGGAACAGACCTTGGGCCTGATCGCTGGCCCTTGCCCAGCTGTGCCATGAGGTTTGGAGTGGGGAGGGCAGGGGTTCAGCAGCCTTTGGGGACCTAACTGCCAGATCCTATAAAGCCCCCCTTCCAGCAGGCTGTATACAGTCTGAGGAACCCCCAGATGAGGGTGCCCCCTTCCTCTCCCCAGGGTCTCAGTGGCTTTCCTCTCCCCTGAGACTGGCTTTCTAAGCTAAAACCCAGCAGGACTGGAACGGAGGGGATGAGCACTGAGCACAGGAAAGGGCTAGGAGATAAGTAGGAGGGCATACCTGGCAGGAAGCTGTGCCCCTCAGGGCCAGTAGGCTCAGTTCGACCACACATGGTCATGGGGTGGGGAGAGTGGAGGCAGAAGGGACTCCCCACAATGGTGCTGCTGTCTGGATTGCTCGCGTTCACTGGGACTTGGGGTTCGGGGCCTGAGGCCACTTTGACATGCCTGGGTTGGGCAAGGAGGGAGGTGGCTCCCCTATATCCCCCTGGCCTGGGGTATAGGGCAGCTGTGCGGGGCTCTCTCTCCCACCTGCTCTCCGTCTGCCCATTAACTGCCCCCTTCTTCTTCCAGATCCTGGGCGGAGTGATCCTGGGCTTCGGGGTGTGGATCCTGGCCGACAGGAGCAGTTTCATTTTTGTCCTGCGTAAGGAACCCTCTGCTTCCCCTGCCCCAGCCCGCTTTAGAGGGGAGGGCCAGGCTGCAGGCAGGGCTGCCCCCACAAGTCTTCAGCCCCAATGCTGCTGGTCACTTTTCCAGCTGACCGCCAGTCTCCGCCCAGGTCCTGCTGCTGACCTCTACAGGGGGTTCCAGAAGGATTTTTCTCTCCCTCCCCAAACAAAGTGCTGTTGTCTGGAGAACACTGGGGGATGGAGAGGCTTGCTATCGCAACCAGGCCCCTTCCCTCGGCCCTGACCTTGAGAAAGCCTCTTACATTCTCCATTGGCCTTTTCAGCAAAATGTAAGCTATAGTCCCTTTCCTCCCCAGTTCAGAGAGATGTAGGAAAGAGCCAGGAATGACAGGTTGTCGGGTTGATGAGGTGCCTGCTGTGTACCTGGCACTGCCTAGATGGGTTGGGCAAGTGTACTGAGGAGGAAGGCACCAGATACACCTCTTGTTCATTCTTACAGGCCTAAGAATATTGCATATATCAGTTGTCTTAATCCCACAACAGCTCTTCAAGGTAGGAACTGTTCTATTCCTGCTTCACAGATGGAGAAACGAGGTCCAAAGAGCTTCCATCCCTTCTCAGGTTCACACAGCTTCTGAGTGAACACTGAGAGCTTTGGTCCTAAATGCTGCACATGGTGAGAGGACCATAGCACGGAAGCCCCTTCTCTCACTATTTTGAAGCAGGAGGAAAGAAACCCAAGATGATAAGACCCATTCCAAGTCTACTTGCAGTCTCCTCCAGGAAGCCTACCAGGCTTGCTGCACTGATCTCTCATGGACACCCTATGGTGGAAGGGAGGCTGAGCACATGGCCCCAAGTAGCACAGCAATGCCACTCCCATCAGTGAGTGTGTCGCCCTTGGCTCACTTCCCCTCCCAGCAGCTGCCAGAGGTAGCAAGTTTGGACTCAGGCCCATGACAGCTGCTTGATTTGAATAAAACAGAACCACACTAGGATGGGGATGGAGGGCCACATGTGTCACTGTGGCCCTAGGGGGCTAGGCCTTCTCCTCTCAGAGGGTGAAGGAAGCAAGGATGATCCACCCTTCAGCCATCTCAGATTTAGCCTGGAGCTGTCTGTCTCTCCTCCTACTGGGAGGCAATGGACTATACCCCTATTTTGGGGCTACGGTCTGGCTTTTCAGTGGTGTGCACACACTCCCCATGCCCTCCCAACATGGGACCCATCCTCCTTGACCCTGACTAGGCCCAGGCTCCCTACTTCCTGGGACATGGTCCACATCCAGTGGGCACTGCGCCACAGGGCAAAGTCTTGAGGCCCAGCCCACCCACCACATTTCTGCCTTCTGCACCCCACCCCAGGGCTCCAGGGACCGCCTGCTACTCCTCTTGCCTTCTCCTGCTTCCTCCTTGTTCAAGTCTGAGAATCTCAGGCTGGCCAGACTTTAGAGGCCCCCTGGATGCACCCTATGTGTTTTTGCAAATACCAGGGCCCGGGACCCACCCCAAGGGATCTGACTCTATTGGTGTGGGTGGGGCCTGGAGCACTGTGGTTTTTACAAAGCTCCCCAGGTGGTTCCCCAGGCAGCCAGGGTTCAGAAACACCGATCTGATCTGTTGGCCCAGTCACTATATCCTTGGGTAAATGGAGGCGTGGCAAGGGGAAAGAGACTTGCCAAGAGTCACGTAACAAGTAAGGGTCAGAGCTGGGAACCCAGGGCTCCCAATCTGCTATGTGCCAGGCTGTGTGACACAACTATTCTGTTACCTCATAGAATCCTCACTGCATTACTATCCACATTTTATAGGGGAGGAAGTTGAAGCACAGGGAAGGGAAGTAACTTATCTGAGGTCACACAACCAGAAGGTGGAGAGCTGGGATGTGAGCCAGGTGGTATGGCTCCTGAGCCCCCACTTCCCGAACCCCTGTACTGCACCACAGGTTCACACAGTGAGCAGAAGCAAGCACAGGTTAAGAGCACGGATTCCATACAGACTGCCATGGTTCGAATCCTGGCTCTGCTCCCTGTTGGCTCTGTGATCCTGAGCAAGTTACTTCACCTCTCTGTGCCTCTTTGTCTATAAAATGGAAATAATAGAGTGTACCTTATAAGGTTATTGTGAGAAATTAAATGAGTTAATAGTCAATAAGAGTTTAGAACAACTCCTACATTAGTGATTGTTAAGTACTAATGTTTATAATAATTGTTATATTATTTATAATAATAATTATAATTGTTAAATAATAACACTTATATACCACCTAATCCTTATAACATCTTTAAGAAGTAGGACTTTGTTCCTTTTTATAGAGAAATAAATAGAGGCCAGAGAATGGCTTGCCTGGGCCCAGAGGCTGTCAGCAGCAGAGCTGGGATTAGAAACACTTTCTCGTCCCCAGTCCCTTTCACTTTGGGCCACTTCCCCCTCCCTTACCTAGTACCTGCTTGGCCCAGTAAAAGCAAGATGTTTCTGCCATGCACAGTGGATGGGTCACCCTGGAATAGTCACAGGTCCCTTCCTAAATCAGTTGCTCAGATGGAGGCTGGCCTGAGTCCCTGGGTGAGGACAGGGACTGGTATTGATGAAATGTTCTGAGAAACCAAGACCCCAAAGCTCAGCTGGACTCAGACGAAGGGCCTGAGTTGGGGTCTCAGCCCTGGGCCTGGTCTGCTGGCCACCTCTGCAGCCTCTTAGCCTCTCTGGGCCCCTGGGCCCTAAGGGACAAATGAGGATATGAATCCAGCCTCATGGGGCTGTTGTGGAAGTTAAGCAAGATGATCCGACTAAAGGGCCTTGTTGGGGCTGGTGCACACCAGGCACTGCCAGTCACTTTGTTGTAGGAGTAGTCGCTGGGGGGGACTTGTGGGAACCCAAACCCAGGAAATTTAGGAAAAGTGAAATTGTCAGCTGCTGCCCATGTTGATTGCCCAGAGCCAGGGCAGTGACGGCCTGGAACAAAAAGGAAGCCCCACCCTCAGCCGGGCTCTGCCCAGATTCCTGGGGGCTGCTGTAAGAAGCTGGGCAAAGGCAGCCCTGCCCTGGCACCCTGAAATCGGGGCAGGCGGGCCAGGACTCTCCCTAAGCTCCACAATATTCTGTTTTCCACCAGGAAAGGGAGCTGGATCAGGCCCTCCCACCCACTCCCCAGTTTTGTAGTTACTTCTAAAGGGTGCTAAGTCCCCCTCCGTGACCTCTCCCAGGTCCTCCAGGGGGCAGCCCTGTGTTCTCCCTGCTAACAGTCCGCTGTGCCAGCCCTGACTGTGCTGATTCTAGGCTGTCTTGCGCTGCACCCAGGAATCTGTATCTCTAAAAAGTTCCTCTGATGCTGATGTGCCCCAGGCTGCTCTGCAGCCTCTGAGAACCTCCCTCCTAGGCTGCCTCCCAGGCATGCTGGGCTGTCTTGGGAGTGAGCCCAGTGCAGCCCTGCCCCCGGCCCTCC